TTTTTTATGAATAAGGCCATAAAACTTTACGCAAAGTTCACGAAAATTCAGAATTTTTAGAAAATTTTTGGGTACGCAGTTTTGTAACCTATTCAACTTTACTTGTTGGCTACTACCGTCAACTCTTAATTCAAGCTTGCACATTGTTATACTAAAATTGAATAGGCTACAAAAATGCATACCCGAAAAGTTTACAAAAATTCTTAATAAAATTATAAAATATGTGTGTATGTACATTTAAGGTTAAAATTACTTCTAACGTGAAAGTAAGTTCTGCAATGAAATAAAAATCAAATATTTTAAATTTTTATTGTTTTAATTTCAGGAAATAGCTAGATATACGATTGAACAATAAAATAATTTTAGTATCCCAAAAAACGTATTTTAATGAGTCCGATACTGAGTAGTATCGATACTTTTTCCCTGATACTTTTAGAGTATCGATACCTTGAGCTCGATGCCAGAATGAGTACTCAGTATCGATACCAAAGTCTCAAATTTCGAACCCTAGTTATAAGTGCCGTACTGATAGAAAAAATTTCATTTAATGGAAAAGGGAGAGCCGCGTTCGGCCTTATAATCCAAAGCTCTCTTGAGGCATTTGCTACAGTAATGAGAAGTGGTATTTCATCAAGGCCAGGTTACTAAATTTGAGTTGGAAATATTAGAACCCGCCGTGGCACTTCCAAGAAGGTTACATGTTTACGCTCAGCTGTATCATTTACAACGAATAAATCTCGACAAAATTCGAGAGCGTCTATATAATCTTCTTTATATTCCCATTCGGATGGATCCATCCGTAAGAAGTCAGAAGACAAACCAAAGGCAACGAAGAAATTTTTAGTTTTGTAGGACACGAAATCTCTAATAGTTTTGCCAATCAAGAGAACGGGATTTGAAATTACTCTATCTTCACTGAATTTTACGTTTGCTCGACTGATTGCAGTGCCTTCACCATTTCTCGTTTTTCCCCCACTGGCACATCATTATCAAAAAACGCTAAAGCTGTTGTCTCCGGCATTAAGTACCATAAATGACTTTTGAACTTTTTCAAAACCGCATTGGATACCACTGCATCAGTTTGGGCGTACTCAATTGCATTTTGTAAAAATTTTAAATCTTGCATTGGAGCCTTAATGGGATTTGTGCACTGGTACCAAGCTTTCATATAAAGGCGAATGAGGAAAATGCAAATATCTCGTAAACTATTAAATCCTCTAGGCGTCAGTTTGAACTGTTCTCGAAAAAGAAATATCTTCAGGCAATAAATAGCTTTCGACATAAACGGCGCATGGGATGTTGTACCGCATGTTCGAAAATCACCACTAGTACCACCTAAAAAAGCAAATGCTTAATAAACAAGCGGTTATTAGACATTCTTTTGAGCGTAGTATTACTTGAAAATAAGGATCATAATATAAATACATAATACATTCAATAAGTACCATTGTTTCAGTTTTACAAGTATAAATGTATCCCGCAGAAACTTCCAAACCTTATCTAAAAATCAAACGTTATTTTGCTATCTCAATTTATCTTATTTTATCAACTTTTTTGCTAGCCAAAGCATGATAATTTGTAACAATTGTTAAAAAATATTTAAAACTATTGCTTAATGAAACAAACCTATTGTCAGCTGTTTTTCTAATTGCGATGTGCATAACATGCCACTGGAAATGATATTTTAATTTATTTTACAATCAAATGTGCTGTACAGTATCGATACGTTGCTTGAATCCAATGTCATTTACTAAATTTGCTATAACTTTTCTATTTTCAAATCGATTTGCAAAAAATTTGGATCTATATACTTTGAAATTAAATAAGCTTTAAATAGCATAAAAATAAGAACAAAAAGTTTGCAGCTTTTAGGTGTAATTCACAGTAGAATAACGATGCGACTTAAAATTGTGTCCGATTTCACTTATAAATTGGCAGATAACTCTTAAACTGATAATTTGATTGCAAAACATTGTATAGCAGGTTCGTAGGGTTTTCAAAGACCTTTAATCTGGTGGAGATCTTTTTGTGGTGTGGTAATCACAACCGGATATTTTTGAAAAAAATTGAAAATGCTGTTTTCTCAATTTGAAAAAAAAAACGATAATTTCGCAAATTCTTAAAACCTATTGTACTTTTTTAATTTCTGACCTCATATTCAGATTGTGTGAGTTATTTTACATAGCAAATGACTATAAAATTCACGACTTTCAACTATTTTTTAAAATTTTTTTTCCCAGAATGCATATGGTTTTCTAAATTTTCAAATGCAACGCGCAAGTACTTAGAGTTATTATATTCGAATAAAATTTTGCACAGCTTATTTTTAGACCAAAACACATCTTTTTCCGCCCGGCAAACCAAATTTTATTTTTAACGAACGGTCTAATGCACATATAATATTGCCGGCCAAACCAAACGAAATTGATTTCAGCGCCACAGTGAGTAAGCTAACGTCCATGTTTGGAGAAAAACAATCGCTCTTCAGCACTCGTTATAAATGCTTTCAAACAGTAAAAAATGATTTGGAAGACTACACATCCTACATAGCAAGAGTAAATCGACAGTGTGAAAAATTTCAGCCAGATAAATGCAGCAGTTATAACTTGAAATGCTTAATATTTGCTAGCGGCCTACAATCTACAAAAGATGCACTTTTTCGTAATGAAATTCTTAAAATGCTGGATGAAGAAAAACCCAGTAAACCAGTTACTTTGGATTTGATAAATGCGGAAATTCAACGAACACTTCTACGTCAGCAGGACATTAAAATGATCGGAAATACTCCATCGATTACGCATGCAGTTCGTACGCAGGCAAACCAGAGCCAAAAACAGTTAAAGAAAAATATCACGAAAACTCCACCTTCTCCATGTTGGTTTTGCGGAGAAATGCACTATGCTCGTTATTGTTTATACGCGAGTCACAAGTGTTCACAATGTGGAACCACTGGTCATAAAGAAGGATATTGCAGCGCAAAGAAACGTGGTGCGTTCAAACGCAACAAGCAGCAAAAAGACAGTTCGCCGCAACAACAACAACAACAACAACAAAAGAGTGTACAAAAGCAGCAAACACACAATACACTGAAATCTACCGAGTCTACTGCACAAACTAGAATAATAACCGATTTCTCACAACTGAGAAGACACATCGCAATTTTAATAAATGGTATTAAAACTCAACTACAGCTGGACACCGCTTCAGACTGCACTATAATTTCGCAAAAAGTATGGAAGAATATCAACATGCCAACGTTGAATGCAACTAAACAT